CCTAGTTTATTATTTTCTTTCTCTGTCTGTATCATCGATACAGATGTGACATCGAAATATAATTTCTATGTTGGTCACGTGTAGATAGATTCTGTTGAATATTTTTCGTCAACCGTTTCGTATTATTCTTCTAAAATTAATGTTCGACTCTCTCCCTGTACCCTTGACTTAGTCGAATATTTCACACGACTCTATTCTCGTCAAACGTATTTTACCCCGTTGGTCCTAGCTTATTGTTCTTTCTCTGTCTGTGCTTTCGATGCAGAATTGACATCGAAGATTTTATATATGGTCCTATATGAATCAAGCTAACAACAAATTCCTTTCTCTCTTGTCTCGGTGCTGCGTGCTGTGACGTTACAGGTATCCGCCCGGTAACTGTCGTTATAAAGACGCGTGGAAGGCAGCCACCGCTCGCAGTGTACGCCGCTCTCAAAGAAGTTAGTTCCGGGAGTCGAGGGACCACTTCGAGGACGCTGGACGTGTTGCCGTGAGAGTCGCCGCGTCGTCATCGGGAAGCGATTCACGGATGCGACCGTGTCCCTGTGAGCTGAAACCCCAACACCATTACTATGGCGTCGTGGCTAGTTCTCCTCATCTACTGTCACATATTAATAAAATATGGTTAATCTGTCTGTTTATGTATCTACCTAATCGATACCCTTGTACGGTGAAGGTCTTGCATCTACTTAGTCAACACCCTTGTACGATAGAAGGATAAAATCCTACGTGAAACGAAATATAAAATAAGAATACCAGCACACACACAGCGAAATTGTTACATGCCCTCCAGAGTCCGATGACGATTTATAGATCAGTATATTTTTCAACGTCAAAATTTCTTCTCTCGCATCATCGCAGCAATCTAGATCGGTAAAGTTTCTCCTCTCGCGTTATCGTCTCTTCTTTTGTGTGAATAAAACAACATTTCGTTTTGTGTCGGTATATTTTATTTTCTGATGGCGATTTGTGCACCAACACCAAATCTCCTCTCTCGTATCATCTCGACATATTAAATCGACAGAGTTGCTTCTCTCTTTTCCACGTTAGCGTTTGGCGGATCTACCTTCTTTCGGCAACAGACTAGTCTCTCTCGTGCCAACGAAATATCCGTTTAATTTTTTGCATGAACAAATCAATAACTTATAACGTGATGGCGATTTGTACATCAACGCTTTATTCGACGACAAATCTCTTCTCTCGTACCATCTCGACATTTTTAGGTCAGTGCAGTTTCTCCTCTCTTTTCTACATATCAGCAACAAAATATTAACTCTCTTTTAGATCGACAGAGTCGCTTCTCTCCCTTCTGTATTAGACGTTTTGCGAATGGACCTTTCTTCGACAACAAAATGTTCTCTATCGTGCCAACAAAATACTTATACGACTCCTAGAGTCTGATGATAATGATGGTTTATAGATCGGCTTTTTTTCCGCCATACAAAAATTCTTCTCTCGTATCATCGCAACATTTTAAGATCGTTACAACTTCTCCTCTCGCGTTATCGTTTTTTCTTTCTCGTGATACCAACGAAACACTGTAACGCGATGGTTATATGTACACCAAATTTCTTCTCTCGTATCGTTACAGCATTTTAGATCGACACTGCTATTTTTTATCTTTTCACATTAGATGTCTGAGGATAAACCTTTCTTCATCGATAAAAATAATCGAGTCATACGCTTAGGTTGAAAACATTAACGACGGTTTCAGATGATTAAATTATCACATACAGCTTTCGCTTGTTATACGAATGACCTTCCAACGTATTTCTACGTCTTTTTCTGTAATGCCCATTAAAACCGAAATGTGTATCGTTATATCTTTTTAGTAGAGAAATTGTTTTATATACAGATTTATGTATTACGTATTTGTAAAGGCCATATTTAAGAAGATGTTTCCTCGCATGACGTAACTTCGAAAAGGCCGCCAGATATATTCTGTCGGTTTCTTGTGGTGTCATTACAAGCCGTTTAATTTTAAAACTCTCGTTGTCGATAATGATAATCGGATTAGGGAACATTTAGAATATAAATCACATCTGGCTATTCTGCGTGTTCTTTTGCTCTCTCAGACGGGGAAAGGAGAGGGTTACACACACACACACATATATATGTCTACATGTGTAGCAGACGTAATGTAGTTGATATGGACAATCAGAAAAAAATGTCGCTTTCGTGGGAATTGCTGGACGAGGAGAATCACGAAATGAGCACTCTAATAGAAACATACGATATAGCTGCTCCGTCGCTACTACACGATAATATTCGTGACAACGCTGCCTTGATGTATCAGAAGTACAACACGTCTCCTTCGCATTATATACCCGGTGATCAATATTGGGACGAATACGCACAACTACCTATAGGAAGCGACCCTCCACCTCATCTTGACCCACACAACATTGCTTATTATCATTATAGGAAATTGCAGGACGACGAGTTGCTGCAGCGAGAGCGCTGCAATGATAGCAACATCAATGATAGAAACAACAATGACGATAATGTACGCGATGATGAGGATGACGATGCTGGCTTCGTTGACGGCAGTAGCGACAATAGTGACGATGGAAAAGAAAACTCCACCAATACGAACAACAGCAATGAAAACGACGACGATGATTATGAAAGGGTAAAGTTTATGGTGGTAAAACGGTAGATGCTTGTTTTCTTGACGATCATGTGTAGAATAAGCTATGTCAGAGAAATATCACACTAGCTGAACTGATAACCGAGAAGAACATACAACACGATACCATATTATACGAGGTGTGTGTGTGTATGTGTGTAGGCAATATGATAGATGTTGGAATAGAAATATTGGGATGAATTACAAATAGACTTTATTCTTAACTCACCGTTTATTTACCCTCATGATCCTAATACCGACAAGTATACTATTGTTATTTTATAATACAGAGATGGTTTTATCGCATTTGTAGAGGTCACGTTATGAAAGATTTCTCTTCACATGATGCAACTCTGAATAGGATGCGAAATATCCTATGATACCATATTGTAATCTTGGTCTGTATAGCATTGCTTGCTGTTGATATTTATTGGTAGAAGATGATGGTGGTACATTACCGGGTAAACAGATAGGAAGACGTGTGGGTGTAAAATACAAACAAGCGTTATGTTAAAATGTTATTTTATTAACATCTGTTATTAGGCGAATAGATCCTTTGCAATCGGCGTAAAATACTGTAGATATTGACCGGCATCTATATTCGCTAGGCGTCTACTGGTATTGCTATTACTATCGGTCTCATTGACGGTATCGTCAGCGCCATATTTACCGACTGCGATATCACCCGATATTTTCGGAGTACGGTGAGACGAGAGACTCTTAACGTTAACTGTTCCTTTCGATAGAGATTGTATACACTGTACGTCTCTTAACGGCTGCGACTCGTCATAACGGTTGTCGGCGACAGCGGTATTTTTTTGTCGCTTGATTGGTCGGTCGTTCTCTCGCAAGGGAAAGGGCAATCTATTCCTTCTGAGAGTAACGCATACGTTTGAGAACTTTCTCAACACATCCACAACCTTTGTCTTATCTGCTTCTCGTTCAACGTCCTTTAAGAATGATAAAAATCCAGTTGATCTGATGTCGTTATCGGTAGCGACTTCCCTTTGCGTATTCGATAAAAATAGCCTGTTGAACCATATATTCGTTATGGTTTCGTTAACCAGTAAGGGCAATATGGTGTTCATAAAAGGTTCGAAGCTTCCGTGATTATCCTTGACGTAGCTGCAGTGTCCCCTGATGGCCGTATGACGATACTGTGGCGTACCGGCATGCGGCTCACACTCATTGGCTAGGGTCTCTATAGCTCTGGAGATCGCAGCGTATTTTCTGGATCCGCTGAACTTGAATGCGGGAAAGTATTTGTGTGTATTGTCTGTCATTCTCTCTTTAAATGCTATCACATCGTTTACTACCCGTAAACGATCGGGACAGACACTGTCGTCTATCTTTACGAGAGCGTCCAAGTAATCTATCAGCGATTTGTTCAATTGCTTTGTCTGTTTCTCTATCGTCTTGATCCACACGTACGACTCTTTATCGACTATGTGCACACAGACGTCCATGAAAATATCGTTATCGTCATCACACCGTATGAGGACGTTTGTGGCTCTAGCACGAAGAACCAATCCGTTTTCTGTTTTGGTAGCATCGTCCTTTATCTTCTTTCTGTATTTTGACAGGACGATTTTGATCCTTTCGTTCTTTCTTGATGTCTTAATTCTTCTCGAAATACTCTTAATCTCGTCGGCTGTGAAGAAAACGCTCGTTGGATCACCCGCATAATGGTCGTTGAGATTTTTTTTATTGCGCGAGAGGAAGAGAAACGAAAAGGGCTTCACTCTATTTTCCAATAGGGCGGCGGCGAATCCGTATAGACTATTTTCGCAACTTTTGCAGTCTTCTGCAAGTAGTACATCTCTATTAATGTAAGATATGTCGATTAGAGACCTTCTTGTCTTCTTGCCGTCGTAGTTGTCTCGATTAGCATCATTATCGTTATCATTGTTATGTTTATCATCTGTCTTACCCAACATGGAGACGAACATGTCGATTGCTAGTAATGCATAAACGACATATTCCATGCAAAATTGATCATCTCTTTCTATATACATATTCAGACATATTCGCCTTTCACTTCTACTATGACTAAAGTTAATTTTTATAAACTTTAAAAAATGTTGGTCACCGCTATCACTGGCGGCAATGTTTTTACTGTTACTCTTGGAATCGACGGTCTTTATATTATTAAGACATATAGCTTCTTTAAATATCGATAATGTTGTTATTAGGTATTCCAAAAAACACGTCTTGAAACAAGATAATCTAACATCCTCCTTCCCGTATGGTAACATTTTAAAATCGTCGCGAAATATATTCTTTCCAAAAGAATCGAGTTGGATATAATCGAAAACGTTGACATTTCTCGCCCAACAAGGAGGAATATATATATATATATACAATCGTACGATTAGGATATACGGGCTCCGTGCGTGGGTGTATATAACCTTCGAGACAATAGAAACACAAAAATAAAACCGATAAGAAGAATTAGAATATCAGTAATGACAATAACACCAACTACAAAACTCTTTGTGACGCATGAAGAATCGGTGGCAAATATGGAATGTGTTTTATTAAGGATGTCATTCCTTACAACGCTCAAGTCGATTGTTACGATTTCCGTTGTATTATCATGTGTATACTTTGTCGAAAAATTATCTTCCTCATATAGATACTCTGTCGAAATATCAACCTCCGTTATATACTCTGTAGAAATACCGTCATCCGTTGTATCATCATACGGATACTCTGTCGATGTATTATCATTGTAGATTATCAAAGAATTCTCATGGTCGATTGAATGTTTATCGTTATCACAAAATTCATCGTCGTTGTTATCGTCACCCTGATCATCGTCATCATTATCATGATCGTCCTCATCAACAACAGAACACTGGTAGTGATACCCGGTTATGTTTTGAAGGACCATAGATTCTCCAGTATTAGAACCCAACGAAATTTTGACACACTTTCTCTCATGAACGTCCCAACCGCAATACGGATCTCTTAAACTGACGCAGGATTTGCATGTCATGGCTCTGTGACAGCGTTGAGTGTCAATAGATTTTGCCTCGTCATGCGTTAATATCATCAGCCTCCCTCCTTTACTTTGCTCTTCTCCTACATTTGTTTCCTTCACGAGGTACATGTTAGTTATAGTCGCTGGTCGCGAGAAAATTCGAATCTCTTCGATAATAATCGGCTCTGCAGAATCTATAGTTTCGTACGATATAACGTTGATGAGTTTAACTATGGACAGAGCTGCTCCTGCTCCTAAAAAAAGAACATCGATAGTCCGTCCATCTTGAAGCCGGACTTGAGGGTCAACGGCGATCGTAGTAAAGCGGTATCCGAATGCACTGACGAATGGGCGGTTAAAAAATCCGGGAACAGCTGCATCCATGAGAGCGTGTGACTGTATGAAGCCGACAAATTCATCGTCGGGAAGAGCCTCATCCGTAGGAATACAAGAGCCTGGTCGTCGACTTTTGGGTATCTTACTCCGAGGTACGGGAAGCCAGTTCGATTGTTGTGTTTCCTGTCCCTTAAAATCCCCATCGAAAGTATCCTGAATGGAGCGGATAGAGAAAGCGCACACGGCAGACCCCGAGACGGAGTTGGGCGGCGTTGTGAACACGGCATAGATGATATCGCGAATCTGTCCCCCGTAGGTGCCGGTGATGGCATTCGTGACCGACTGAACTTCGTCGAAATAGAAGGGGTATTCTCCGGGAACAGAACAGTTGAGTCTGTTTTCAGGAAATGACGACCATTTGGTCATGGGTCTTCTTATAGACTCGGTGTTCTGCACACGCGAGCAATCTCGAATAGACCCGTTTGCCGCAGTTTAAGGATCTAGGGCAGTTTCACGGAAACTGGTACGAAATAGATAAAGTCGCATAACGAAAGAGTGCCAAAGCTGGGATCGTAGCGTTCGACACGAGCCGGGGCCGTGTACGAACAGCTTAACGATCCCAGCTTTGTGCAACTCTTCGATTATGGCGACTTTACATTTGTCTTTTAGTGAAACTGCCCTAGAATCTTTTTTAAACTGCGGCAACGGGTCTATTCGAGAATTGCTCCGTGTACTTTATCCTCCCTCGTGCAAGAACGACCGAGTGCGACAGAAGACCAGACCAACATGGAGTCTTTCCTGAAAAGCAGACTCAACTGTTCTGTTCGGAGGAATACCCTTCTATTTCGACGAGTTCAGTCGGTCACGAATGCCATCACCGGCACCTACGGGGGACAGATTCGCGATATCATCTATGCCGTGTTCACAACGCCGCCCAACTCCGTCTCGGGGTCTGCCGTGTGCGCTTTCTCTATCCGCTCCATTCAGGATACTTCGATGGGGATTTTAAGGGACAGGAAACACAACAATCGAACTGGCTTCCCGTACCTCGGAGTAAGATACCCAAAAGTCGACGACCAGGCTCTTGTATTCCTACGGATGAGGCTCTTCCCGACGATGAATTTGTCGGCTTCATACAGTCACACGCTCTCATGGATGCAGCTGTTCCCGGATTTTTTAACCGCCCATTCGTCAGTGCATTCGGATACCGCTTTACTACGATCGCCGTTGACCCTCAAGTCCGGCTTCAAGATGGACGGACTATCGATGTTCTTTTTTTAGGAGCAGGAGCAGCTCTGTCCATAGTTAAACTCATCAACGTTATATCGTACGAAACTATAGATTCTGCAGAGCCGATTATTATCGAAGAGATTCGAATTTTCTCGCGACCAGCGACTATAACTAACATGTACCTCGTGAAGGAAACAAATGTAGGAGAAGAGCAAGTAAAGGAGGGAGGCTGATGATATTAACGCATGACGAGGCAAATCTATTGACACTCAACGCTGTCACAGAGCCATGACATGCAAATCCTGCGTCAGTTTAAGAGATCCGTATTGCGGTTGGGACGTTCATGAGAGAAAGTGTGTCAAAATTTCGTTGGGTTCCAATACTGGAGAATCTATGGTCCTTCAAAACATAACCGGGTATCACTACCAGTGTTCTGTTGTTGATGAGGACGATCATGATAATGATGACGATGATCAGGGTGACGATAACAACGACGATGAATTTTGTGATAACGATAAACATTCAATCGACCATGAGAATTCTTTGATAATCTACAATGATAATACATCGACAGAGTATCCGTATGATGATACAACGGATGACGGTATTTCTACAGAGTATATAACGGAGGTTGATATTTCGACAGAGTATCTATATGAGGAAGATAATTTTTCGACAAAGTATACACATGATAATACAACGGAAATCGTAACAATCGACTTGAGCGTTGTAAGGAATGACATCCTTAATAAAACACATTCCATATTTGCCACCGATTCTTCATGCGTCACAAAGAGTTTTGTAGTTGGTGTTATTGTCATTACTGATATTCTAATTCTTCTTATCGGTTTTATTTTTGTGTTTCTATTGTCTCGAAGGTTATATACACCCACGCACGGAGCCCGTATATCCTAATCGTACGATTGTATATATATATATATATATATATTCCTCCTTGTTGGGCGAGAAATGTCAACGTTTTCGATTATATCCAACTCGATTCTTTTGGAAAGAATATATTTCGCGACGATTTTAAAATGTTACCATACGGGAAGGAGGATGTTAGATTATCTTGTTTCAAGACGTGTTTTTTGGAATACCTAATAACAACATTATCGATATTTAAAGAAGCTATATGTCTTAATAATATAAAGACCGTCGATTCCAAGAGTAACAGTAAAAACATTGCCGCCAGTGATAGCGGTGACCAACATTTTTTAAAGTTTATAAAAATTAACTTTAGTCATAGTAGAAGTGAAAGGCGAATATGTCTGAATATGTATATAGAAAGAGATGATCAATTTTGCATGGAATATGTCGTTTATGCATTACTAGCAATCGACATGTTCGTCTCCATGTTGGGTAAGACAGATGATAAACATAACAATGATAACGATAATGATGCTAATCGAGACAACTACGACGGCAAGAAGACAAGAAGGTCTCTAATCGACATATCTTACATTAATAGAGATGTACTACTTGCAGAAGACTGCAAAAGTTGCGAAAATAGTCTATACGGATTCGCCGCCGCCCTATTGGAAAATAGAGTGAAGCCCTTTTCGTTTCTCTTCCTCTCGCGCAATAAAAAAAATCTCAACGACCATTATGCGGGTGATCCAACGAGCGTTTTCTTCACAGCCGACGAGATTAAGAGTATTTCGAGAAGAATTAAGACATCAAGAAAGAACGAAAGGATCAAAATCGTCCTGTCAAAATACAGAAAGAAGATAAAGGACGATGCTACCAAAACAGAAAACGGATTGGTTCTTCGTGCTAGAGCCACAAACGTCCTCATACGGTGTGATGACGATAACGATATTTTCATGGACGTCTGTGTGCACATAGTCGATAAAGAGTCGTACGTGTGGATCAAGACGATAGAGAAACAGACAAAGCAATTGAACAAATCGCTGATAGATTACTTGGACGCTCTCGTAAAGATAGACGACAGTGTCTGTCCCGATCGTTTACGGGTAGTAAACGATGTGATAGCATTTAAAGAGAGAATGACAGACAATACACACAAATACTTTCCCGCATTCAAGTTCAGCGGATCCAGAAAATACGCTGCGATCTCCAGAGCTATAGAGACCCTAGCCAATGAGTGTGAGCCGCATGCCGGTACGCCACAGTATCGTCATACGGCCATCAGGGGACACTGCAGCTACGTCAAGGATAATCACGGAAGCTTCGAACCTTTTATGAACACCATATTGCCCTTACTGGGTTAACGAAACCATAACGAATATATGGTTCAACAGGCTATTTTTATCGAATACGCAAAGGTAAGTCGCTACCGATAACGACCAT